ACATACGTTCTAATCGCATATCCAAAAATCTAATGTATAATTTGCGATATGCGAACCAATTTCCATTGTATAGTTTCGGATATTCAAAATTAATAGCCACATATTTTACGATAATGCGACATATTATCTCATAGTTTACAACTCGCTAATCCAAATCCACCACATATTTTACCATATGCAATAACGTTTTGCATATTCTGTTATCGCATATCTAAATCTAACATTGTGTCGTGTCATGCGACATGTTGTGACATAGTTTACGACTTGCATATCCAAATCCACCACTAAATTTACCTTATGCGATAACATTTAATATTTATGTTATCGCATATCCAAATCGAATGTCGCACATTTTATAATTATGCGACATATATTCACATAGTTTACGCTCGCATATCGAAATCTATAGCGTCACATAATTTACCATATGCATGACCTTTTCGCATATTCAAGAGTCGCATATCCAAATTGAACGTCGTATATTTGATGTTATGCGACATATTTTTGTGTAGTAGAGGACTGGCATATCCAAATCCATCGATCAATTTACCATATGTGATAACATTTCGCATATTTTGTTATCGCATATCCAAATCGAACGTCACATATTTTGTGATTGTGCGAGAAATGTTTGCACTATTTGTAGCGGGCCGCGGTCTCGGAAGTTTTTCGCCTTTAAGATAGCTCAGCTCATACCAAAATCGAACGTCGCATATTTTATGATTATATGCGAGAAATGTCCGCATAGTTTACGACTCGCATATCCAAATCTATAACACCTTATAATTAACGATTATATGTAATATGTTTGCATATTCAAGACTCGCATATCCAAATTGAAAGATGCATAATTTGAGACTATCCCCTATTTTTTCGCTGCATGTCATGAATTGCATATCCGACGAAAATGTTTCGTATATTACTCCACAATTGGGAGTTTTCCACGAAGTACGAATTTCAGCTCTCAGCCCACAATAGCAATATGGATAATCTGTGTTGTCAGACATCTCGTTAAAGCTTCACTCCTGAGTTGAATTTCTTCAAGCTTGTACAAAACAAGAAGACTTTGGAAATCAAAGTTTTTCTTCTCGATTTTAGGGATGTTTTTTTGTTCGAAATTTTTCCCGATTTTCCTCTTTTTCTGTGGAAGATGAAGGCCAAAACGCGTTGAAGGGGTATTTATAGACTGTTGAGCAAGGTGGATTAAGTAGTCCACGTGTAGTCCACGCTGGCATCTTTTGTGACCTGAGGCGAAATTCTGACGACTTTCACCGGATTTGGGTAGAAAGACTGAATTTTTAAAATATTTTTGCTACTATTACCAAAATAAAAAGAAGGTGGTTAAAAGTGGATTTTTTTATTTAAATAAAAAAAAAGTGGAAAAAAAAGTGTCGACGAAAATAAAACAGGCGTATTCTCAGAATACGTTTTTAAAGTAAAATGTATTACCGTAATACGTTTTATAATGAATTTAAATTATAAACATAATTAAGTTAATTAAATTAATATAAAACATGATTAAGTAAATTAAATCAAATTAAAACATATTTTAAAATACGTTTATTAGTAAACGTATTTTTGAAATACGTTTTACTAACTAAAACGTATTTTCAAAATACGATTTAAGTATAAAATAAATTTTATATATTATAAATATATATAAAAAATTTATAAATTTATTATTTACTGATTTTTTCGCGGACACGGCGTCTTCTACGACCACCAATATTGGCAGCAGGACGATGCCTCGCCCGGTGCGACTGCGTCGTTTGGGGTCGGACGTAGCTCTCTTGAGATAGAACTTGACTCGACGGCATCCCTTGCGTGACCCCTTGTCCTCTGACAGTCAGTAAACTGTAGAGCATATTTTGGGACTGTACGATTATGGACTGCTCCTCTGGAGTGAGTTTATTAAAGTCAAGTGTCGATAACAAGTTATAAACCCCTTCCATGGCATTGACCTGAAAATTAAATTGAAAATTATTACTATTAAACACCAAAAATAAATAAATAATATTAATAAAAAAACACAATTTATGGACACTTACACTGCACATCCCTTGCTCGGACAGTGGATGAAAACCACTTTCCTGTTGGACCACCGGGTTGTTGCCAGGATTACTGATTAGTCTCACAGTCCTATAGTAAAACCAATCAAGGTAACTCGGCTCAGGCTCAAGGAACGACTCCACAAGGTAATATGGGAGGACATGTTGGGCTCTTTGTTGGACCCAAACATTCGCAAGTGCTCCATGATATTCCACCCAATCATAGAATGCCCTCCCAGTCATTCCTTGGCCTCGGTGGTGTGTCTGGTATTCGGCCAAACCCGTAATGATCGGAGGGTCGAGGATGGCTTGCCGACACCCGAACTGACGAATGACCCTATTAGTCAGGTGTTATTCACGATTGTCCCAGTCAGGAGCTTCAGCAGCTCAGTTCCAAGGTGAGATCTCCATAAAAAGTGTGGAGGTTGTTGCGTAAGGTTCGAAATGGCACCAGCTAAAGTTGATTCGACTAAAAAGTCAGACCCAAAGGCTCAGGCCTTGAAGACAGCCAAGGCTGTAAAATCTGGGGGAACAGCCTTCAAGAAGAAAGCCAAGAAAATACGCACCAAGGTCACTTTCCACCGTCCGAGGACCTTGAAGAAGGAAAGAAACCCAAAGTACCCTAGTTGTGTTTCTTATATTAAATTCAGTTGTGTAGTTGTGTATTCGGCCGTGTGGCTGTTGTATTTGGTTGTATGGTTAGGCTCTAGTCTTTGTGTTTGTTAATAAAATCTATCCTTTGAGGAAAAAAAACATGAGCTAAAATATAAGAAATGCTACCAATTTTATAAAAACAATATGTGGGTATTTCTAAGCACACCATTGGCTGACCGAGGCGCAGTCCAGAGAATACATATCCCTCCCCCCTGAAAGAGATGTGATTGAAAGTGATGAGTAGTTAAAATTATGTGAGTTGATAGATAGTAAATTAAAGTTGATGTGATGCGCGCAGATAATTAAGTGATATTATTTAATTATTCTCATAATAATATGCCGAGTTGAGCTAAATTAAATTTGAATTAAAAATTAATTAGATTTATATCCAAGCACCCTCTTTGTCACTTGGTTTCGTTTATAATTTGGTGATGTTTCACTTCGCTATGCATGCAAATTTATCACGTAAGAAATATTCATTAATATTTATAAATTAAAAATTCTCACTAAGCATATTTATAAATTAAAAATATGAAATCAATATGTGATACAGTTTACCTATATTAATTTATTGAAAATGTTACATGAAACTTAAATTGTGCAAAATTACATAAAATATGTCTATTTAAAACTAGAACACAACCCGTACATTATATTCATTTCAAAATAAGTGTCATTTTAAATTTTTTATCAAGAAATTCAAATTAACTACAATGTGATTCCATAAAATAATTATTATAATAAATTTTTATTATATATTTCAAAATATATGTGATTAATAAGTACAATTATTAAATTTTATGGTTTCATTAATTAAAAAAACTTTTATTTTTGTATAAAATATCCAAATCAAAAAATTTAAATAGTTGAGTAATTTATTAAACTATAAATAATTGACATTCTATTTATGTCCAAGTTAATATTGACTCATAAGTCATGAATAATTACTTATTTGGTTTTTAAATTGGGAACTAAATTTGGACTACACAATAAATTTTCCTATATATATATATATATATATATATATATATATAT